AGAACCAAACATCAGTTGTGTGGAAGGAGCAAGCTGGAAAATAAATAACACTGGAAACTGTTATCCTTCCTTCATCCACTACCACAGACATAAATCCCAATTTAACAGCAAAGGAAAGGGCGGTGCCAGCCCCTTGGACAGAGCTTTCACCTCCAGCATGGCACTGGGCATACACAGACCGGAGCGAGGATTGAAAGTATCAATACCTTTTCAATGCCCATGGGCTCAGCCAGTGCGGTAACACACAGGCTGTGGTCCTGCCAGTCCAGAGGGTTTTCTGGGAGGCTCTGGGCATCTTCAGGATGAAACAGCCAGTCCCCCTGCATGCGTCCCACCAGCAGAACACAGGCTCCTGGAGCAGACTCGGATGTGCCCAGCACCAAGCCAAACAGCCCATCTTTGCAAAGGGCCCTCCTGCCCTCACACCACTGAAAGGATAGTCTCATCTATGAGTTTAAATGAAAACTAACTCACAGCAAAGCCTGATCTAAATCAGCACCCTCGAAACGCAGTTAAAACAAGCGAACAAGGTAAGTGTGGTAGAAAATAGACAAGCTTTGGCTCACGTGTCTCAGCTCTTCAGTGAGCAGCTCTCAGCAGCAAGGGAAGGAGCCGCGGTGGCTGTGCTCCCAGGGCTGTGTGGGGAGCTGCCTGTCGTGCCACGCTCCCTCATACACATGGGGTTCACTGCACCTGCCTCTGTCCTCCAGGAATATGACTTGAGCAGAGCTTCAACAACCCGGCTACTCCAGTTACCTGGTCTCAGCGTATCACTCGCTTCACAGCCTTAACTCCAGCTGTGACTGATAAGCATCTTGACACAGCCTGGGAACATCACATTTAAAGTAGTCTTGAGTTCTCTAAACCAGACACAGCGCTGGTGCAGGACTGGCATTTTATTCTGTGTTTAAACCAACCTTATCGTGCCTGTCGTTAGGGACAAGAATTGAGAGGAGGAAGAATTTCATTCTGTACTTTCTCTTTTCTTTTTATCAGGAACCATCAGAAAGCTTTAGCACAACTTTCCCAGCCTCCCAAGGCTTCCCATCTGTGGATCCGTACCAGCATCTGCAGAACAGAAGTACTTATTACGAAGCTGGCCAAAGGGGTGGGCTTCCTGGCATGGCTTGCTTTCCACAGAAATATTTACTTAACATCACCATCTGCTTGAGCAGAAAGGTTATACAGACAAATGGCTGGTGAGAGGGTCACCCCCTTCCCAAGGGCTCCGAGTCATGCCTGCAAAGAGCTGAGTGTCCCCAGACCCTCCCAGGGGCTAAGGCCAGCCTGGAGAACAGCCACTCTTGTCCCATCTGTTAGTGCAGTAACCCACCCTTGACCCTATTATTGGAATCTGTTCTCCTCCTTCAGTAAGCAGAAATTGGTACAGGTATTATCTGTAGAGGTATCACAATTACATAGCTGGCCACAAAAGGATTATGCAGTCATTATGGCAGGTGATGCATAAACACCCGGCACTCGCCCAGGCGGATTACATCCAAACTGAAGAAAGGAATCTGCAGGTAGGTGTGACCACCAGACACAGGGATACCAAACAGGTAACAGTAGTAACCACAAATGCCACTTAAATCCCATCTGAAAGCACGGACAGCTAGACTTCCCTCATACAGTTATCCTCTGAATTCCTGTATCGCCTGTTTCCACTGCTTCAGCAATAGCTCCTTCTTTGATTCCATTTTAGCTCAAACCAAACAGGCCCACGCCACTTACCTGCCAGTGTGTTTTGGTCTGAGGAGTCCTTTTGATGCTATTACCTTGGATTTATTCTATCAATGCTGCATCTCACACTTGAAACAGGTTATTTAGTTACTTCCAAGACTGCTGGTAGTAAATATGCAATAACCAGAGCACAAAAATAAACAGCTATGAGTCCACAGCTAACAAAAGCTTGGATTAATTTGCTAATTATACATAAGCATTACTGGCCCAATCAGGTACACCATATCAAAAGCTTTAAATTAAAACAAATTGGGATAATGCCTACTTTGCCTCCTGTGTAAGTCTCATGTACAATGCTTCAGTGGCTCTAAACCCTGACAAATCCCTCCCCACCAAAGGGCCAGCGAGCAGTCATGGATCCATGTGGTCCAAGATGCCATGCTACACTGCACCCCACTGTACCCTGTGCCTGGAGACCACCAACCACCCCATGGACAGGCCAGGAGTGCTCCCCTCAGGGCACTTCGGTTCAGTCCCGCTGGATCTGAGGCAGTCCCTGATACTGCACAAGGTTTGTTACATGAGCTGTGAACATCCCACACTGAGGTGGAAGCCAGCACCCGATTTTCTATGCATGACCCATGAAGCAGCCCGGCCTCCCTCTCTCATGGCTTCAGAGGTAAACGCTTCTACTTGGAACCCTAGAACTGAAACTGGTGGTAGTTTATACAAAGGAAAAATGTAAACAATTCCCCCCAGACATTAAGAAACCGTTCATGCTTTAGTGTCATACATTTGGGGGGTGTTTGTCTCTAAACCAGCTTATCTAAACCTAACCTAGACTGCACCAGGGCAGAGCTGGGGTTTCAGAGAGAGGCTCACCTCGGAGGGAAGACATGTGATCCCACTAGCACAAACCAGGACCATTTAAAAAGGGAAAGAACTTAGAGCAACACACCTTAAAATGCTCCTTATTCTTCAAAGGAGAGTGGGTTGCGCCTGCAGCTACTGCTGCCAGCACTGCCATGGCACAGGGATCTGCAGCGAGATCTCCTTAGGCTGGTGGAGTTGCAGCGAGCTGCAGAAATGCCCCCACTGCTCCCAGAGAAAACGCTGATACCACATTTTCCCAGGCTGAGAGGGTAAAGCTTTCTATGCAGTGCCACACAGGGCAGGATCTGGAATCCAGCACTAGGAGCTAGCGGGGGAGTACAGGTCCAAAACAGAGGAGCCTTCAGTGAGGGAACTTTGCTATAAAGTGATTTAGCTGCAGTGACCCTTTTCCCTCACAAGCATTGCTGCCTGAGAAGCTGGTACAGGACCTGCTGCCATCAGCTTCAGCAGATACTGCTCACTGCGCTGGCTCTGTGAGGGGTGTCTATATCTTATCCATGGGAAAATTAAAAGCCACAGCAACTGACAGGCAGCACAGTGTAAACTTAATGGAGTTTTTGCTAGGATGAAATACAAACCCGGCAGCAATGACACATGTATCTTCAACACCACAAAGAAGCGTTCTGCTTTCCTTTCGGCATTTTGAAACCGCACATGAACACAGGGTATTAGCACTTTGAGTCCCTCATGCCCTGGCAGCAGCTGTTAGTGATGCAGTTCAAAGGACACGTATTGGTATTTTGACAGTTTGCTGTGCTAACTCTGACTTCACAACCATGGCAGAAGCTTGCCAGCAGCAGCACAGACCCTCCAGAACCACCATGCCAGGGAAACGAGGACAGAGACAGAGCATGCTGAACTGAGCCATGAGGAAGAGGAAGATACAGCACTTCCCATGGGAATGAGAGAGACGCCATTTATCTCTAAGACAAGACTGGGGCAAAATTCACCTGTTGGCCAGGCCCAGCTCATGCGGCTCCCTGCCCGACCACCACACCAGCCCAAACCAGTGTTTGTTAACACAGTGTTACCCTCTGTACAGGATTTGACTGCACAGGCTTCACAGGCAAACAAACCATGGCCAAGGCTGAGCCTCCTGCTACCAAAACCTGCATCATCCACTGCCAGCACTGGGGCAGCTGAGCTCTTCCAACTTTATTCACCCCCACTCACTCTGCACTGATTTCAGCAGAGATTTATCCAGACCCCAGCAGAAGACACACATGGCTCCTGCCCTGGTACAACACTCGCAGCCGGACTCACTTGTACCTCTCCTTACTTTTATGGTTTTGTGTTGTTGTTGTTTTTTTGCCAAGCCCTCAACTTCTTCATAAAATCCACAGGTAAATTACTGAGTGGATGATAATTACCACTCCCCAAATAAAGCTGTGAGCTTTTTAAAGCAGAACAAGCACAGAAGCATGAGCAGCTGTCCTGTGCTTATTTAAAGGGAAAGTCTAATTGCTCATTTTAATCTTTGCTCCCCTCACAGCTCCTCACAGTGAGCACTTTGACATGGCCCTCCACCGATGCAAAACCCAGCTGAGTCCATATCAACCACCTGCGGCCAGGGTCACACACCCCCCCCCCCCATTCCAGCTTCCATCAGCTGTGGCCATTCCCTGGTGCAGTAACATAGTTAGCCACGATGAGAGGTGCCGAGGCAGCATGCCCAGTGGGTTATGATGTATACCTATTTCACAGGGACAGGTAGTCTCCTTCTTTGAGGTTAATTCACCAGAAAAAAAGAAAAACATAGCTTTTCATTGAATCCTTCTCAAACAAACCTTTCATCCTCTGCTACAGGATGCTTAGATGTACAGATGCTGTACATCTAAATACTTTTCTATCCCTATGTTAAAAGGCATTTTCTATCTGTATTTAGACCAAAGCTTCAAAGCCCAGGCAGTATTTCTCTGCCTATACACCAGCAGTTTCAGGTCGGCTCATTCTCCACGCGTCTGGCTCACAGCTGAGGGAAGCGCAGGGGGAATTTTAAGTCGACCTCAACCATCGGTCCGTGCTTCAAGCGCAGCTCCCCGATTCTTGCACACTTACCGCAGCCGAGGGAAGGGGGATAACAGAGGTGCAATGAAACGGGATAAATGCAATCAGCCGTAAGGGGACGGCGGGGAATTCCGAGAGTTGAGCGCGGTATTTCTGGTATAATTGTAGCTAATTAGGCACAAGAGGTAGCAACTCGGTTACGGCTCGGCAAGCCTCCGACAGGGGAAATGCGAACCAAGCTGGGGCAGCAGGGTCAGAGGTGCTCGGACCCGCCGCGAAGCAGCTGCAAGACGGGGTGTGGAGTGTGGGTGCCATGCGGATACATGATACTGATGGATACGGTGCAGGGTACGCGGTGCCGGCGGGATGAGGGACAGGGGATGCGGAGTACGGGGTGCCAGCGGGACGTAAGTACTCACCGGACATCGCCGTAGGCGCCGGCGTAGCCCTCGGTCCAGGGCTCCAGCTCGCTCTTGATGCAGGCGGCCGGGACGGCGAAGGGCGCCCGGCCCGCCGGGAACCAGGTGTCGGCGGGGAACTCGGCGGTCTCCGCGGCCAGCCCGCGCCCGCAACCGAGGGGCCCGGCGGGCGGCTCGGCGCAGGGCCCGTACAGCGGCCCCTCCTCGATGAGAAAGGCGGGCCAGGGCGGCGCGGGGCCCGGAGGGGCCATTTCGGTGCCGTAGCGGCACACGTTGCCCCAGCTGCCGCCCGCCGCCGGCCCCGGCGGGCTCTCCAGCTTGACGCGGGCGGGCGGCGGCAGGCGAAGGCCGGGGGCGGGCCGCGCTGCGGGCTCCGGGGAGCCGTGACAGAGCTCCGGTCCGGCGGGGACATCGACGGCCAGGGCAGCCCCGGCCCCCGCGAAGGCGGCCGGAGCGGGCGGTGCCTGCGGCGGGTCCCCGCCGGCCGGGCGAGGGGTCCGGGTTGGCCCGGCGGGCAGCGCGAACATGCAGTCCTCCCGGGTCAGCGGCTCGGTCGGTGCCTCTAGGGCCAGGCCCATGGAGGCAGACACGGCCCTGCAGAGCTGCCTGGCGCTGTCGCCCAGCGGGTCCTCCTTGGGCGCCGGCTCGGCTTCGGGCGCCGGCAGCAGCGGCATCGCGCCCGTCTCGCCCAGCAGCTCCCTCATCTCGCCGGAGCAGGGAAAAGAGGAGCCCACGGCAGCGCCGCGCGCCGGCACCGCTTTCCCGGCGTCGCGGGGCTCCTGGGGTGGCAGGCAGGAGGGCGAGCAAGGCGGCCGGGGGCTCGGCGGGCAGGGCTGCTGGCCGGCGCCGGGCTCCTCCCGCGGCTCCTGGAAAGCCTCGCACACGCTCTGGAAAAAGCTCTGGAAAGCCCCGCGGAAGGTCCTGCCGCCCGCCCGCGGGTAGACGCGGCCAACCCCCAGCTGGACCTCCATGCCCGCTGAGCGTGGGGCAGCGAAGGTGGCAGCGGAAACAGCAGCGGCAGGCAGGGCGAAGCCGGAGAGCCCCGGCAGCAGCTCCCCAGCCGCCCGCCCGCCGTACCGGTTAGCAGCGGCGCGGCCCCGCGGCGTCCATCCCCGCCGAAGCACTGGACAGGGTGCTCGGGGCGCGGAACAGGCAGCGAAAGTTGCAGCCGGCAGAGCGGGCAGGTGCCTGCGGGAGGCGGAGCGGCGGGGGGGGGGGGGACCGCCCAGCGGAGCGGGGCCAGTCCGGGAACTCCCCGGTGTCCCGGCAGGGCCGAAGCGCGCTCGCCCTGCCCGCGGCTCGGCTCTGGAGCAGCGCGGACCCGCAGCGCCGCCCCCGGCGTCCGCTGCAATTTCTCGGCTCGGCGCCTTCAGCGGTGCCGGCCCCCGCGGGCGGAGCGGGACCGGACCGGACGGGACGAGCTGCGCGGCGCGGCTGCCGCGGTCCCTGGTGCCCGTTCCCCGGTAGGCGGCCCCGCTGGGGGGCTCCTCTCCGTTCGCGGCTCCGCCTGCCCCGGGTGGCGCGGTGCGCGCCGTTGAGCGGGATTAGCAGGAAAACGCTCGTTTTCGCTGTGCGCTGCGATGTTGGAGCTCAGCAGCTCCCTCCGCCCGAGCCCGGCTGAGGCTCCAGCGGCCCCTCTGCCTCCTGGGCACAGAGGTTGTGCCCCTGTCCCCGTCCTACGGCAGCCATCCCCGTCGAGACCCAGCAGACCGGTGTACCACCGGCCTGGTCACGCATCAGGCTGACGATGACCTCGCCAGCAGACATAATTAGTGTAGGACCTACCATAAACAAGGCTTGAGCTCCCCTTGCTGGTCCTGTAATTAAGAGTCCTCAAGCAACTTCTAGTAGGTGCCATTCCCAGGCAACCTGGTAATGGACTCAGTCATTTGAGGTAGCTTAAAATAAGCCCATTAATTTCAGTCCCTTTGGAGATAAAGGGAAAGTAATAACGTGTTGTAAATGGAGAAATGGAGCCAGTTGGGAAAATGAAGAATCCTGTACAGTCCTTTAAAAGTATTTTTACAAGCTGTAGAAGATAAAAATAAAAATCCCAAGTACAGCCAAGCGCAATCTGTCAGCGTGCTCTGAGCGGCTGGAGCCCCACATCTATCAGCAGCGTGGCTGGAGAAGGCAATTTATGGAGAAATCCTGTGGGCTTTCAGTCTGCATGAAGCTCCAAGCTGGTTTTTAATGACACGTAATATAGCACCTGAAGTGATAGAGAAGCATGGCTAAAAGCTGAAAAGGCAAAAACAGAGGGATGCACTGTAACATGTGCAGGGTGACTGTGTAAACTGTCATAGGTCTCAGCGTTCCCAGCTGCGTTGCCACGGAGGGGCCTGACTGCAGCTCGGGGTGAGCGCCCTCAGGGCATGTGGCCCCAGCCCTGGGGTAACAGAGTAGAATCACAGAGTGAATCATAGAAGCACTGGACCAGTAGCTGTGGCTCTGGGTGAGAGGGGATGGGATACAGCAGGAGAGGTGTTTCAGAGGGATGCAAAGAAACCCGTGGAGATGAGGAGGACGTTTGTGTGGCCAGCTAATAACCACATTACAAATTGTTCCTCACCTACCCACACGGGGAAAAGCCTGCATGTAGGAGGCCTTTTCATGGGGTAGGCTTGTTAGAAGTGACGGCTACAGAAGCAAGGTTGTGTGCATCGCTTTTGAAAGAGCTGGTATAAAGCCTAAACTGGATTTTAGGAAAAATTAGTCCCATTAGCTCAAAGAATGTCTTTCTTGGACACCAGTAAGTGTCCAAGCTCACTCTTCTCACCAGCTACACGATACCAACAATGCTCCAGCTTTACCACAAAGCTGCTCAGCTCTTCAGAAATGAGGGCAAAGCCCTTGAGGCACAAATCCACGATTCACAGGTGGATCTGATCATGCTATCCCCTCTAAATGATGCAGTTTCCCCCCTCCCCTTTCCACAAAATTAGCTGTTGCCACAAATCCATGCTGGTACCTGCCAAGTTGATGCAGATCCCAGTGTCTTTGCTCATTCAGTCATCAGTAATTGTCAGGACCCTGGAGTAAAATACATGGTCTCTGGAAAACATCAAGGGGAGGAGTCTCACCACTAGTGTAAATAAATGTATTGAAAAAAAGCTGAGGATAGGAAGTGCGGTGTAATATCCCTTAAGAAAGAGATGCTTTGTTTTTTAAACAAGGCAGGGTGATGCACACTCGTGATTCTCACAAGCTGCATCAGAGCACTGTCCTCCATTCCTTCATATGTGCTGGAAACCCTGTGAGTGGTGCAGACCCCAGTGCAAGCTGGACTCTTTATGTTAAAGTTCTGCCTCGGACTGTGTGTGTGTGCGCCTGCATGCCTTTTCTCTATTTCTCATGTTGGAATCTGTCCTGCTCTCTCCTGTCCTTGCAATATCTGCCCTGTTAAGATTTCCCCCCAGTCTGCAGTTTGCAGCCAGACTTTGGGAGATTCTAATCATGACAGACAGCCTGAAGAAGCTACTTCCTTTCCCTTTCCTTTTCCTTTTCCCTTTTAGTTTCTTTTTCTCTTTTCACTTTCCCTTTTCATTTTCCTTCCTCTTGCAAGCATTTTGTTTTCTGGTATTTGCATGTTTCTTCTTAAAATTATGAAATGTCAGTGGTTTAAGGGTGCATATGTCTGTGGCTGCACATGCTATTTTTTAAAGGCTGTATGTATTTGAATCTTTATACTTGGTTGATAAAGAAAAATCAGCAGTGCCAATGCACAGAGGTGTTTCACTTGCAGTTAGTCTTACCAATATTAAAGTGTAACTTTCTGTAGTGTTTCAAAGTTTTTTTGCTAGTTTCATGAAATCTGAGTCAAATCCTTACCATAAAATCACTTCCTACAGCTTAGAAGCTGACTGCAGTCTCAGCTTACATCTTAAACTTCACGCACTGGATTCCAACATGGTAAAACAGGCATCGTTTATAGAAAGACCAGGGAAAACTGACGCAAATGTGTATTTTTTTTCTGCATGCAAGTGAAGCTCTAGCTTTGGTTATTGAACTAGTGAAGACTGGGCAGCAGCACACACCTACGTGTGCTCCAGAAAAGCTCCTTGCTCTTGCGCAAGGCCTTGCTTTTCTGCAGCTCAAAGCTGCAGGATGTGTTACAGGTTGTTTGCTTGGACCTGCTGTGTGGCTGTTGGTGTCAGAGGTGGAGATATTCATCCATCTGGTTGCATTTTATTACTAAAGTGTTAAGAAGGGCTGAAAGCATTTTGTTTCATTTTACTGTCTGACAAATCTGGAAGTGTTCTAACACTCCAGTGGTATTTGATTTTATTTATTACATCTAAGTGTAAGAATTATAGCACATGGTTTTCTGTTATGTAAAATACCATTAAAGCCAGGAATTGGGGTGGACATCCAGTCTAAAAGCACTGCAGTTTTGGTCAGATGAAGGTGTTTGCAGCAACATATGGACAAGATGACTGTTCTGGTTGTGTGTCACCCGGCTGGTGGCACCAGCTCTGCCTTGGCAAGGGAGCTGCCAGCGTGGGGTCCTGTACCATACCCAGCCCTCGGTTTTCCAGCTGAGTAATGCACCATTTAGGCAAAAAATTAGCCAGGAGCAAAAATAGATATTTTTTCACAGATACATGTGACTTTTATCATAAAATAACAGCTCTAAAATCCAGTTTATCTGAACAGTTGGGAGAGCGTGTCCTTCCGAGTTACCACAGCTTTTAGCTGGGAGAGAAGGGGCAAGGAGGGGATGATGTGGTGGGAGGATGGTGTTGCCAAACCATGTACCTCTGTGGCCTGGAGCTGGCAGCTCTGGTGTGTGTGCCAGGTGAGTGGGCAGTGCGAGGCCACGTGCCATCAGGATGCCATGGGCCCCGCTGATGGCAGCTTCTGCTGGGCTCTTCTCCTGCATCCTGGCATCGCTGGGATCCATCCCCTGCCCCTGCTTCCTTTGCTGTGTGGGCAGGAGGAGGCAGAGCTGTTAGCTGGGTTTGTTACCCTTTGTGTGTGAGCAGCATAGCGACATGGCAGTACCTGGTGTTCAGGGAGACATGGGTCTGCGCAGTGGGGTAAGGGATCAAAGAGCCATAGATAAAGGAGGGGTTTCCAGAATAAAACGTGTGAAGTGCACAGAGTGATTCTAAGAGAAGCATCACCTTTTCCTTTATATATAAGTAGTTTACTGACGTAAGCTAAATGCATATTGATATTTTTTTTTAATGAGACCCTAGATTCATAAATTCTAAACTTAATATAGTTTATAAAAAAGCAGGTAAAATATGAAAACATCATCTTATTCTCTCTATTTGCTCCCAGGATTATAAAGAAATTTTGTCACATGCCTGGTGAGTGTCACTCCTTGAGCACCTAAGACTGAAGTCCATTGACAAGTTAAATCATCATTTCTAAGTGCCTTTTTAAGGGTCAGAGGAAATTATTCTTTTTAGTTAGTTTGAGCAGTTCAGTTCAGTTAAATCCTACGACAAATGCCAGGACAGGCAGGAGCCCCCCTTCTGCTTCTGTCCTGGGGTCAAAACGGGCTGTGAAGGGATGACCTCTACCACCCCTAAAATGACATCTTCACCTCTAAAATCAGGAAGGAGACACGGACCACATGCAATTGATGCAGTGCTTTACGTATGGACAGCACTTTATCTAACAAAGTAGTTTTTCACATTTAAGTAATAAAGCTGTAACATACTCAGAATTTAATACCATTTTCTTTAAAAACAATCTTCAAATTCTGCATGTCTGTTTTAACTGATTTTAAATGCAGCTTGATACAGCACACAAATAAAATGAATAATGGCACTGTAATTGGCCCACACAATGAAGCCAATGGTGCTGTTGAAATGTGGGGAACTGTCTGGTCAAGGAGGATTATTGGGCACTGGTTCAAGACTGTGGCTACTTAAAAACATAAATCTGCAGTTCTACAGGGGAAACCTGGCCATGCCAAGTTAAGAGGGGTCTGAAGAAGAGACAGCAAATAACTGATCTTTCCCAGCACCTGCGCTCCCCATCCTAGCAGTTCAAAACCCAAGATTCAACTCTCTGCAACTTCTGCTCCATGCAGTTGGCAGCACTCCAGTTTGAGCAGTGGGCTGGGTGCAGATCTGAAGGATGGGTAAGATCTCGAGCCAAAAGCGATGGAGAAAATAATAGGGAAATAGGTACTATACCATGCGCCTCCCCCACAGTCAGCCACATACTTTAGGGGTGTCAG